TTTGCATGCTTTTCGAATATGATTAGTTTTAAAAGGTTTTCGTCTTATACATTATCAGAGAAAAAGGCGTCCCAACTCCTCCTCTTTCGATTGACGAAAACCGCAGGTCGCTAGCTATTGCTGTTGTCGAGTTATTGAGCTTATACCCACCCCTATTTAATTCTGGCGCCGACAATAGATGCAGTTGATTTGATGATGCTAATGTATGTGTAAATATACATACATCAGGTAAACGAATATCATATCCAAATAGTTCTTGAGTATTTGTAAATGGATAATTCCATTTTCGACAATGTGCATATTCAACCACAACCATGTGCAGCACGTTCAACAAATGGAACATGTACTAGATAAAGTGTAATAAATAAAATAATATCTTGACGATAAGCAATATGAGCAAGAAAATTTAATGCTAAGTGTAACATTGATAATGTTTTATCTAACATCCAATCGATGACCATATATATATATTGAGACATCTATGGATTACGCATTCCAGTTACATGTCCATAATGAGCACGATTTCTATAAATATATCAAATAAAATATAAATAATTATAATTTATTCTTTTTTATTTTTGTTGTTCAAGAAAATATCATTTTTCTTTTTATTATCATTCCTATGTAAATTTCAACAAACATACCAACTTGAAAAGATCTTCAAGTGTAATCATTATGAACATACATTGAAATAATCACCATGTTGAAGAGGATCATCAATAACAGTTGGAATATGAGTTTATTCTTTGGATGATATTGACTCTATAGAATTTATTAAAAGAATAAAAAAAAACAATATTTATTTTGAAATTTAATTAACCATCTTTTGGAATAATTTGCCGTTGCATTGATTTTTGAAAATTTGTTCAACTAAAACGACGTTGAAATATACATCTAAGCATAAATGATGCCATTATTCTATCTAAAATATAATGACTTAAACGTGATTTTGGTGTTGCCTAAAAGCCACATGAATAGACAAAGTAACAACAATGTGATATTCTGCTTTGTGAGTGTATTTAGAGAAGAAAAATGATTCTAGAAAATAATATAAGATGTGTCGATCTTTACTAGAGATCATCATATATGGTTCGATATCATAACTATTACATTAGATAGTCACACCTACGCAATATAGATATATTCGATTAAAGGTCTCGGATTTGTGTCATGATGACTGTGAATTTATGAGAATCAATACATTCATACTCCACATCCATCTTCAAACACATTCTTAATAATTTACTTCATTTCAAACAGGAATATAAAGAATCTAAATGAAATGAAGCGTAAAAACATGAAACTCAATGATTGCAGTTGTTACTCTTTTTCCAATCAACGTCAAAAACTGATTCTGCATATCCCTATTTACTGACCATGGTCGTCAGAAAGTAGGAGCGCGCTGTATGAACACAAAGTCGGCAATGTTCACTGAAAATCTGATGCACACACCATTAGAAAAAGATACATGTTTCGACAGTATTGTCTCTATGTTGAAGCAAACTTGAATTTTTATGTACTGTGCTCCAACGAAGATCAATGCTAGTGTAGTCGGTGTTCGACGAAGTCCGGTGTCGATACCTCATGGTCAGTATTGACACTAACACTGCATGTTCAGAGTAATTTATTAAATTAGAGTTGTACTTAATATACTCCATTTTTATTCGTTTTGTCCGCTTTGTATTACCAGTTTTTAGTTATGACATTATTATTTTTCCAGTTGTTGTTATAATTCAAAAGTAAGTTTATATTCTTTAGAAATACTGGATCGTATTTGAACGTGAATCACATTTCTTACATGATCTATATCTATTCACAGATCACACAGCATTTTCAAAGTACGACACCTTTATATCGTTAATAATTTAAAATTAATAGATAACAATTATTTCAAATAGCAAAGAATGTGGATGTTATTTTTTTATGTCGGAAATAAAAACAAACGCATTTTATTTAGAAATTTGTTTGTGAAACTGATAATAAATGAATACTGGAAAAATGAAACATAATTGTTTTATAAAACATGAGAAGACTAGAAAAGAGTTTCTTTTTTTTGTTGTAAACAACTGTACATTTATTTTAATTATAAAATGATAATCAAATGAAGACAGACGATCTGAGGTTAAAGAAGTCTTTGATCTGGAATGCTAAAGTCAATAAACAAAAGGGAGAAAAGCGGATCGCGGGATCCTCTGGATTCCCGTCGTATCCACTGGATTTTCTGGAACGTCACCGTATCCCGGATACTAGAATATCAAGGAAATAGGAAATATATGGCAATGAAACTGAGTATTCACGAATCTGCCTTTTCTCTTGGATAAAAAGGGATGATGTGAAATATATTGAGTACAACACTCAGAAGTTCAGTTATGCCGTTCTATAAGTCAGTCTTAATGAGACATGACTGATCTTGCCTTCAATCAAAGTTGCTACAATCTTTTGATCTTGAAATATGTTGTAGAAATAAGAGTTTGAAGGTCGTTGAGGTAAATTGTTTGAAAACATATTGTTTACTTTCCAAAGTGCATAAATATTGCTGAGAACGCTATCCTCAAAAACCACATTGTTTTTAGGCTTTTTCATCAGTACTAGGAGATGCACCGCAAAATGATCATGTTTCGGTATTATATGAGTATAGATATTCCATGAGCAGATCGTGCCAGAAAGCTGATATTTTGCCTGTAGCAGAATCTCATGAAGTACTTATTGTCCAAAAAAAATTCAGTCCTGTGAATAGTTCAAATCGCTTATTAGATCTTTGAGAATCTCATGATTTTGACTGAAACCACGATATTGGCAGGGACCGATATCACGAAATACCTGATCAATAGAAGTTCCATTTTTACGATTTTGAAGTACATACCGGACATCGTGATCTTATGCAAGAGTTAACATGATATCTCCTAGGTTATGTTTGGATGACTTATTGAAAGATATTCAAAAATGACCCATTTACCATGGAAAATACACTCGAGCTCACTTAGAAATTAGAAGAAAAATTTCATAAAGTGAAATAAATTCTGTTCAGTAGAAATCAGTATACAGACTTCTATAAATTCCCATAAAGAGTCCTTTGAAAAGAAAAAGAACGAAATTTTTGAAAATTTCCATAGGAAGATACGAGAATTTCGTAAAAACTTGTTCACTATAAGGCTCTCAAGGCGTACGAGAATTTTTCAAAAACATTTTTTTGTCATTTTCAAAAGACTTTTTATGGAATTGCATAGAGACTCAGGTACTGATTTATACTGGATGGAATTTATTTCACATGACGAGACTTTTCTATGTATTTTTAAAATGAAACGGAACATACTTTACTACAGAAAATCAGTTACTGTTGAGTATCTTTAAATAAAGCCCGATGGATCATTCTGCGGAGATCCCACGCCAATTTTTGCACTGCTTCCTGATGCTGAGTTTGTACTTTAAAATTAGAGTTCCGAATGGGACGAGAAAATTGTCCCATGGGACAACTCATCTAATAAAAAGATTTACTTAAAGTCTAGAATCGATTTCTACGACTTTTTTGTTTAATCATCTGAGTTTCTTCTATCCGTGCATGTTGAAACCGGCTTATTTGACATCAAAGTATTATACTAATAACATGTCCCTTATTGATTTCGGGAAGAATCAAATTGCAAATCCAGGGGTATTAACATCTTGACGAACCCTCACGAATACAATAGTGAATTTATCGAAATCATTACAATCTGAGTTTAATCTATTTCATCGGAATTTATTATCTACTTTTGCTATTAGAGAATTCCATTTTCATGTCTCTACACAATAGAAAGTAATAGTGTTTCCTCTGAAGCGCATTTTTTTATCATGAATTATCAGTTTGTAGTGATTTTTGCCAGTTTTCCAGTGTTAAGAATCACTAGAATTTTTTTAATCTACTATGGTATATTCTAGTGGAAGTCTTTAAATCTTTCCGAATTCTGTTGAAATCGAGAGCATTTGAAGCTATATCTAATTCGCCAGAATCTTATATATATACGGATTACTTCGTTTTAAATAGTAGGTTATAAAAAATTGTGTTGAAAATTGATTTAAACTGAAGATTCTTTATAGTCAAGTCTCTTTATTCATACAATCAATAGCTACGCAGGAGAATGTTGAAAATATAAGGTCTTATGAAATATATAAAAATCCACAAAAACCAACTTTAGGTCTCATTATTTAAACTTCTAAAAAAAGATTTAAAAATTTCTTATGAAATCTAGTAGAAAAAAGTCGGCAACGAACATATATGTTTTGAAGAAGAAAGACGAACAATGAGGGTATAATAAATTTTATTAATCAGCACTTCTATAAAGTACTTGCTGAAATCATATTTCAAAGAAAAAAATCCAATGGGATAAGAAAATTGTCCCATCGCATTTCATTCGAAGCTCCTTTCAAAACCATATCTTTGATCAAAATCACGATTTTTTGAACAGTTGCATGAGTTACGGGAACTATCTATAGAGCCAAGTTTTCTGTCATAGGAAGTATTCAACAAGATATTTTTATGATTAGAATTTCAGCTCTGTAACATGATCGAGTTACGAAATATACGTATCCACAAAACACTTAAAAATGATTATTTCCTTTTATATCTCACAGTACTGTTCGATTTATCCATATTTCATTCATCTGAAGTCATTTTATTACGATAAGCGTATCAAGTTGAGATGTATTTATATCAAACATTTTGAGTTAAACGAATGTATTTTTGTTGAGATGTGCACGTAGAGATACTCATAAAAAGTGTGACTTTTTGCAATTCGGTTCTCAGAACATTTAAATATCTCAACAAGGGAACGATATTTTATCGAAAGGTTTGTGTCGTCATTCTTAAAATTGATTCCTGTACATATTTTAAAGTAAGCAAAGTCTAGCAATTTCGATTGAAAACAAGTTTAGTCTTTACTTATGTGGACTGACTCATTACTTATTGACTCGGTAAAATATTTTGCACAGATTGAGTGAACGTTCAACAAGTAGATTTATTTGCACTGTGTAATTAGAAATGTTATTTCTCTTACATTAAATCGATTTCATCCCCCTAAAATGATGTGTTCATGATTGAAATAAATGACAAAATAAATTACAAATTCTTTGAAATTCTTCATCAGCACTAGTTCGCTGTAGTCGCATTACATCCATCCTATATTCTATGAATTTTTCTATTGAATGAAGTCGTATCCTTAGTATCTGCAATGTATCGGGTGTATCGTATGTATCGGGAGGATATCGGCTGTATCATCACCGTATCCGCTGGATTGTGTGGATTGTCACCGTATCCTATCGGGTGTCCCAGGAATAATGAGC